TTCTGTGAAATCCCACACTGGTGCAGTGAAGTTGAGGCTCTGGATTTCTGGAATGGTTCTTATCACTGCACTGTCTATGCTGCAAGAAAGAAGTGCAAGGAAATTTACCACTTACAGGGCTAAATTAAAAATGTTCCTCTTCTCAGCCAGCTGCGGGTCTCTTGTCTGCAGGGAAGATTTCCTTTACCTGTTTTGAAAGTCATTCTATAGGGAAGAATCATAGTAATGACAAGCAATATCAGTGCTCATTTACAAAGCAAAAGTCATGAGAAACATGCTGTGCAGACAGAAAATGCAGCCCTGGAAGAGGTCAATATTACTTCTGGGATATGAGATACCGGTCTGGTAAGCACTCAACAAAACATATCAATTTTAAATTTTGATCTTGAGTGAAAATACACTGGCTACATGAGGAAAATGAAAATAGATCCCTGTAGTAAACCAGATGTTCAGAAGAGCTAAAATTCTAGAGCTACACAGGAATAAAAGGCTAGATTTTCAAACAGCTCATTTGTAAATATCCAGTACTTGATTAGTAATCAGCCCTTGAAATATTTTTGAAAAGTGAGGGTCAAAACGCTTAGCCTAAAATCCTTTACACATAGTAGAAAGACTTCTGAACTCCTGAATTCAGCCCTGTGAGCACAATTTAACACTGAAAATTTGTTTAATTGCAGCAACAGGGAGACTGCAACATGTACAGGCAGATATTCCCCATCGAGTAATATATCTGATATTGAGGACTGTGAATCCAGCCTTATACCAGCTTCCTGACAGCCCTTTAGACATGCTGTGTGAAGCAGCTGCATGAAATTTGGGGAAAAAATCAGAAGACCAAATGTACTACTCTGAATTGACTTGAAATTTCTTCTGGGATTGATGCATAATTCTGTGTTGGTATTTTATTTTTCCCATTTTATTTTAAGTAAGCTGTTGGCACATTTCTTGGTCATTCTAGTTGGCTGAAAGCACAGGCTGAATGTGTTGACTATTTTCCTGTGTATCTCCATAGTGAGATTTAGTTGCCATGATAAGCTGTATATTTTGACCCATCAGAAATTTTTTTTCTTCCTAAAACATAGTCATGGGCTAAACCTCAGGAATAATACAACTTAACTGTAAGATGATAATTCGACTTAAAGTGATGGGCAGTGTCCTGGAGATTGCTCCCTTTCACTTGGAAATGGTCTGACAGCTCCCACTGTTAAGTGTGCAGTGTCAGCTACTGCTTTCCATTGGACTCTGAGAACAAGAATGATCTCATTGTAAGTCTGGACTGTCGTGCCTTTAGTTTCTGAATATTTAGATATATGTTGACACTCTCACTTTTTTTTTTTAACCTCTCTATTAACCAAGGAATAATTCTGCAAGTATAGAATTGCATTTATTATCTACAGTTGTCATGAAGACACTTATTGATCCTCATGCTGCAGCTGCTGAAGTTTCTCTGTGACCTGCTGTAATTTATGCTGGTGGCTGTAGTTCCCAGAGTACACCCTGCAGTAGCTGATGGATGCCATGTCATTGTCCTGAGGTGCATGTCAAGGGTGACAAAGCTGGTTGAAGATTCTACCTCAGTTGGCCTTTGAGAGATCCATCCTTCACCTGGAAATCTCTCTAGCTCTGAAGTGACTATGGACAGGTTTTGATTTAAGTGTGACTTACAGGGAGGTAAGTTTAAATTGAGGCCATTTTTTAATTCAAGTCAAAACCTTTGTGCATATCATGAAAATGCCTCATTCTCTAGTTCCTGGTTATGGTAAATTACCAAGATAAAGGTTTGGTATCAAATAAGAAATGCACACATTTCCCAGAATTGTTAACACTCAATGTACTGGAGAAAAGACCATAGAGCCTATAAGTTCAGAAGTGTGACCTACTTATTATAAAGCTTTTGAGTTATTTTTAGATAGCTCTTCTATTCCCTGTTTACTGAAATTAAATATTTTTAACTTGTAAAGGATAGAAGTTATCAATAGAATGTGAATTCTGGGTAAATAATAGTATAATTTAACCCTTGGAAAAAAAATTCCAAACATATATATGAACATACCTTCAAAATATTACCTTTCGAAAATATATGAACTGCAGAAAATCAATGTTCCTTCTGCGCTGTAGTCAGAAAGCTTGGAAGGCATCCACTTCCTAATGGGTGAACTGCTAACTTCCCAGACAAGTGCCCAACATGTACAGACACTTCTGAATCATAGAATGATTTGGTTGGAAAGGAGCTTAAATTATCAAGTTCCAACACCTTTCACTACATCAAGTTACTCAGAGCTCCATTCAACCTAGCTTTGAACACCTCCAGGGATGGGACATCCGCAACTTCTCTGGGCAACATGTTCCAGTGCCTCAGCACTCTCAGAGTAAAGACTTTTTTCATAATATCCAAAAGAGATACTATTCCTAATTTCCTGAAGAGACATTCCACTCCATCATGGACCTCTCTTAGCAGCATGAGAAGTCACTAGCCAAATATTAAATAAGAGAAGATAATACCTCACAATTTATTCTACTAATTAGATCTAAGCTCTTCTAGGTAATATATGCCAGAAGATTTTGATAAACTTTCAAGATTGAATATGATTTTCCAAAGGAAGAAATTCATCTATGTATGTATAGCTCCTTGCATTATGGCTAGAAGTTTCAACATTGATTTAGTAGGATAACATTTATGATTAGCTCTAAAAATATTTCAACATAGTGTTAAAATGTTGTGAGAAACAGATTATAGGCCTTTGATCTGGGAAATAACAACTAATGATACTGACATGATTAACAAAAGCATAAATACTATAATTACATATCTTATCAGCTATTCCTGTACTCATGCATTTGTTAAGCTGACCTCATCTGGTATGGGATAGGCTGGATGCCAGTTAGACACTATGCAGAGGGGATGAGTTTTTTCTCTGCCGAAGTACCAACCTTGGAATTTGTTTTTGTACTTTCCTGTTCTTAGTCCAGCTTATAAGGGTTTTCCTGTGCCAGTACTCACACAGCTAGAACATATGTTCCTATAATATTTTAGCTTTATTTTTGCAAGTGTTGTTTGACTGGTTCAGTATTCTCGTAGCAAAATTTCATAAAATATCTATATTCTCACAGTTTATCAATCAGAAATGAAAGTGCCAAAAACCCATGGGATTGAACTCTTTGCGTGTACTTAAAGCAGCAGAGGACTTGTGGCTACACCGTGCAGTTAAGCTTGACTTATAATGCCCCCGTCAGAAACAGGGATTGTCTAATAGTAATTTGGATCAACATTACTATGACAACAGAGAAGCAACAAGTTTTTCCTCAGTAACTTATGGTTTGCAAGACCTCAAGCCTGGGAATCATTTCCCTTGTAAGCTCTTATCAACAGAGCACTTTGTCTTGACTAGAAGCAGTGATGATTTTGCCTGCACACTTTCCCTGTATTTCTATTGGGGCATAAGGCTGGAGTTAAGGGGATAAAATAACTGAGTTTATGTAGCTTAGATAAAAAAGATAAGTTAAATCAAATGTGCATGTTGACAATTTTATCCAAGTCAGCTTGGTTATTCTTAACCTGAAACCAGAAATCCTAAAAGATCTTGTGAAGATATTATTCCTTCTTTTTATTGGAAATATTCTTCAATGCCATAAGTTTGCATGCAAAGTATGCATCATGCATGTGTTTTATGAAGAAAAGCAGTTGTGTTTTTTTTCTTCCAACATGTAGTGCCAGAGAGACAATCCAGTCATCTATTAGCAACATAGGTTAATTGCAAAACATAACAGGTCAAAGGATTATTCATCCTCTTTGATTGCTTAATGTCTTTGTTCTGCAGCTTGCATTCTATCTTGTTATTTCACCTTCTGGGTAGGGAAATAGTGGAATTCATGCGCAGAAGCGCAAATAACACATCAATTCCTGCAATCTCCAAAGTCTGTTAAAAGCCAGTTCTTGTTATGCATGTTATGTTTTGCAGTCACTATCAGAGATGTCTGCTGCTACACCACTTAATTATCTCTTGAGAAAAGTACACCTGCACTCCTTCCCACAGGATTTAATCATGAAGGCTTGTGGCTCTGGGGACTTCACATGCCTTATGGATGGCTGCTACTAGCAAAAGCACTCCGTCTGTGGTGGTATCACAGCCATCAAGGTAGTTTTTTACTATAAAATGGCAAAAGTGCTGGGGCGAAAGAAGTCTGCTGGAAGGGCCAACAGTAGTCCCGTAGTCTTCTCTGTATCCTTATGCATGCCTAGTCCTGGGGCACATAACACATGAACATTTTATTATGAATAGTGTAGTTCAGGTGCCAAAAATTCTCAAACAAAACAACTGTAAACAGAGACTAACATTGTGCTGGCATTTTTCAGAGCACATCGTATTTCGATAGCAGCTATTAATGTTCTTCAAGAGGGATACAATCAATTTGGTCTTCCTAGATCTATGAAATAATTCCCCACTGGACTGTCACTCATTTGTAACAAGAATTATTTAAATGTTTGATGATATTCAATACCACACTGAGGAATAGATAGACCCCTTGAGCAACACCCTCTGGTGGTATTGGACAAGCTTCTTATTTGGCCTTCCTTCAGTGAAGCAATGTCTGTTTAGAGTTACTGTATCTATGACCTGCTTAATGCTTTTAAAAAGAAAAAGTTTTATAGGGAAGTCATTACAGTATTACTAAGAAGCAGCCACCAGGTTGAAGGAGGCCTGATCAGGTACTACTATCCCACTGACACCTGCTATTATAGTTTGAAAAGATTCTTTACCAGTAAAGTATATAAGGGTTGAAGTTTGGCAATTATTTTCTGCCATGAGGCAGAAGAAGAAACTGAAGCTGTTTTGATGCTGGGGAATTCACATTTGTTTTTATTTAGCAGCAGAACTCAGAAAATTTTCAGTAGTTCTCCATAGGCATTTTAATTTGAATCAAAAATGCATTTTGAAGAAAATTCTACATGTCCCCCTACTTGTGGTATTTTGGCTTACATCAAGGAAACATTTCACAGTCTGCAAATTAGTTTTCTCTTGATTAAACTAAACTAGAAGTGTCCAATTAATGAGCTTTTGTCCAATAGAGTCAGATTAAGACTAATTGGAAGTAATCTCATTGCCCCAGAAATGCATGAAGAATGAACAAGAGGATCTTGGAGATTTGGTACTGTATTCTTCTGCCTTTAGATCTTCTCTTACTGGGCTGTAAGTCTTGCTATTGTTAACATGCTTTGTTATCTTGGTGCTTATTAAGCTGTGTTTGGTTTCTCCTTTCTTTCAAATCTACCAGTATTTAAAACTTTCAGATGAGTTATACATTATTTTTTCCAGTCTCCTGCTTTTCAGACAAACGCCAACTCTATCCATTTGTCTCACTGGAAGAAAGGACCAATGAAAATACCAGATGTAAAATGAAGTGGGGGGTGATTTTAAAGTTAAAGCAACTCATTCCACCTGTCTGTCTCCCTGTTACATGTCTAATGGGACACAGGCACTTAGTTGAGCAGCAATGACCTCCAAACCTCTTCATCACAGGCTGTGCACATCAGATGTGCAAAATCCAGGCACCTACAAGCCATCTCATTAGTGACATTTACCATTGGTGCTACATGACAGTGGTTACTCCACGGTGGAGCACTTGCATCAGTTTTCACACCTGACCACCTCCTTGGATCATTAAAATCTTATGGTAATCTTATGCCCTTCCTATGATCTACAGAAATCCTCTAAAACTGAGAAGGAAAGATCAGGGGTGGCTTCTGGTATGGAAATGCTGACCTTGCATGACATCCACTTTTCATTTGAGTGTTTAATAAAGGTGCTAGAGGAATAGCTGTGAAAAATGAAGTCAGTTAACCACAGAAGAGTTAACACATGCATAAAAAACTTTCCTCTGAAAGGCTAAATGCTGTTTTGAGTATCTATTGACAAAAAGAAACTTCACTAATTTTGTCTGTTTTTAATTTGCTCTCGGTCAAGTTTTCTTCGTATTGTGAATGAGTGCTTTACGGTCACTCAATCTGCATCAATGTTATTAACAAAAGTTATTTTACTACGAATTTGTAAAAGTGTGACTTAACAAAATTCCATGGCAAGGTGCACTCTATTGCTTACTAAATGGACTAAATGCACAAAGAAAAATTAAGTTATAACTGATTTAGAATAAACTACATAGAAATTGAAGACACAAAAGGGTAAAGGACACTATTCTATTGAGTCACAAGGTTCAGAGTGGACTCTCTTGCTTTCTAAACTCCTGATGGAGCTTAGGTGAAGCTAGGTTCAATCTTAGTCTTTAACTTGGAAAATGGTTTATATCTAATAGAAGAAATCCATAGATTTCATTAGTGTTGATTTAGCATGTTATCAGCAGCTTACCAAGGATCTGTTGTGAATAAGGTGTCCCTCTGCCTTGGTTAAGGAAGGATCTCTTAGTCTCAGATAAGAAATCTCAAACTTGAGAGGTGTCCCAACTGTAAGTGAGACTATCACCATGCATCCACAGTGCTGTGCAGGGAGAGCTCCAAGAAGGCTCTCTAAAGCTGTCATATTTTTGGGATAAAGTGGTTGGCTAACAGTTAAATTGCACCGGAAGGGTATGCATGAGACCCCTTGTACCCAAAACTTTCTTTGTGAGTCTTGGAAAAAACATCTGTTATTCATGTGTTGACCAGAGTGTTTTAAGCTCATATGCATGATGCTCATTGGGTCACTGCCCCTTTCTGGGTTTTCTGGAGGAGTTCTTGGCCTGACTATAGCTCAGGCCTTTACCTTTTTGGAGTCTGTACCAAAGTATTTTTAGTTTGGTTAAGGGGGTTGAGCACATTCATTACACTCTCTTAGTTGTTTGAATCATACTAGTTCTGTTGTTATTCACATTATTCTCTTAGAATTTGCTCCACTGATTTAATGATAAATGTAATCAGAGTGGACTATATACCCCTGCTTTTAAGCTCCTCCGAGCACGATGGATTTGAAGGTCTCAATGTTGCCTCCTTTTTTCTTGACAGTCTGAATGAGGAAAAAATCATGTACAGAAACTTGACTGTCAGGTAATACTAAAGATGATCTAGAAGTTCTACTAATAAGGCTCAAGAGAGGGAGAGGCAGAGAACCAGGAGGTTTGGATGAAAACAGGCATATGATACACAGACATCTTTGTCTCTCTGGGAAGATCTCAGCTGCTCAGCCCACTCTGTGGAGCTCAGCATTCATCAGCTCCTTATGTGACATTTAAAACCAGATTTTCAAGGAAATTGGCAGTGGTACTGAGTGAAGGTGGCATTTTCCTAATAAAGAAACACAAATTTGGATTTGGTGAGCTGAGGGTCACTTCATCAAGTTTTTAGGGGAGGCAGAGGGAAAGAAAGCTAGCTGTAGTGTTCCAATTTTGAAGTTAATAAGGTTTAAAATGGTTGATTTGAATTGAACATTTTACCTTTGGGAAATAATTTTATTATTTTTAAAGGTTAAAACAGAACAAATAGGTTTTTTTCTTTTACAGGTAACTGAAAAATATTAAAATTTTCATTGATTAAAAACATAATTTTGTTCACAGTGCTCTTTGATATCTAGCACTGTGCTCTTTGCGAAGCCTGATAAAAGCAACACAACTTGTCCTTGACTGACTATTTCATAATATTTTTCTATCTTTCGTAGATTGTAGAGAAACCTTTTCCTAAGCTTAAAAAACATGCTAGGAAAAGTAGAATTGCATTGCAAAGAAAATCTGGGATGCAGAGGGTGACCTTATGCTAAATGCCACTGTTTAGTCAGACTTGTGCAGATTGAGAGATAGGGATATGGCAGTGATGGGAACTGAATTTGGGTCCCTGTGTCAAAAGGAGAGTGCATTTTCTGGTAAAGCCTGTTGTATCTGGAGCTGAAAACATTGCTTTCCTTTCCTATGCATGGTGTGGCTAGGAAAGCTTGGCTGGGTCTCTGCTGATTCCTGTCAGAGGCACAGGTCCTTTTAAACCTATATTTGTGGGAACAGTCTCGTCCAGATACTGCAATCTCTGAAATAGCCACCAGTATGTTTCTGTGTTGGTGTGCATTGTGTTCACATTTTACAATACTGAAGGTTAACTTCGTGTTAGGGAGACTGGAAATAGGTTAATTAAGATATCTGTTTTGTTTAAATAACACAAAATACTGGGTGAATGCCAGAATTGCAAGGTACTGATTATAATGGGCATTTATGGATGTGGCATTTGTATTTCCATATTTCTGAAGCTTTGGGGAAACCTCTCTTTCATTTAAACTTGTGATCTGTCATTAACAACTCTCTGCTCAGAAAATTAATTCCAGCTAGACTAGAAACTGCAATCTGGAAATCTTAACAGTGTTTGGGTTAATTAACTCATCATTTGATTTGTTCTCATGTTAATAAGCTCTTGAGGATCAATGAATTCTCATTCAGTATAAATAAATTGGATTGGGGAAGCAGTTAATACTGTAATAACAGTGGTGCCCATATGGGCTGGTTTGTGTATATATTTCACTTTTTAATTACCAGCCAATTTGAAATGAAATGTGCTTCAGGGTCTGAGTTGGTTTATTTTCTGTCTGAGAAACAGAATCATCTGGTGTGGAAGACTTCGGATGCTACCTGGAAGAAAACTCAGTCTGGCTTACCACAGAACCTTTTAGTTTTACCTTACAATGTAGACTACAGATCAGGTAATTTCCACCTTTCAGTCCTCACATCATTGAATTGCCTGTTATTTAAGCTTCTGAAATTAATTCCAAAGGTTTGGGCTGAGCATATTTAATCCTCATCATGGATGCCCTTTGCACATTTTCTTTCCCATCAAGATTTTAAAGGCATTCTCATGGGTAATGAGGACTAGCGGGACACAGAAGACATTTTGATAAGCTGTTACAAATCCTTGAGGACAAATGTCTCCTGTAAGTTTTATTTTTCTCTTTAAAAATATTCACTTATTATTTGAGTGCAGTTGAAAGCTGCTGTAATGATCATTTTCTAGAGCAAGAGATTATCAAACGGCATCCTGTGTTTGTGGCATCTGTCACATAAAGAGAATCCCGATTTATACAAAATCTCGGGAATCTTATCAGAGATAAATATAACATAGGATTGTTTGTACTGTAATGATCCTAGATGTAATGAGGAAAATGAATTCTAAAATCATAAAAAGAATGAAAAAACCTATATACAGTAAACCCTCTTGCTCAGAATTTTTTAAATATTCTAAGATGTGGATTACGGAATTAATGTTATAGACATAATTAAATAGTACTGAAAATCATCTGCAGTCACATGTCTGAATCACCTGCTTTTTTGGATATGAAGATGCTTAACTTTCTTTGTAAATCTTAACAGTGAAACTGTCCAGTGAGCACTTACCTTCCTATTTATAACTTTATTAGCATTGCTTTCTTTCCATGTGCTTCACACAGCTCCCTCTATCTTCAGTCCTTGTGCTCTAAAAATATTGCTGCTTCTATGGAGTTTCTCTTCAAAAGCCTATGTACAATGACATTGACACAAAATCACCAGTGTACCTACAATTACTATTTTTTTATTGTATACTGTTTGACTCCTAGCATCACTGATGTTAGGATTGACAGATTTTAGATGGATGCATTGTGCAGTGATCTTTGATTAAATAAGTCCTGAAAACAGATCTAAGGTCGGATGCCACAAAGAGCAGCTTCGGCTTCTGCAGTTTTCAGTAGTTACAAACCACATGAAAATCAATCAGCCTTCAAGAAATTAAGAGGTGTTAATCATATTGACAGCTTTCAAGGCTGATGTAAATGGCTGTAGCTAAACAAAAGAGATTGCTGAAATCAATGCAACTGTGCTCTTTCACTAGTGAAGGATCTGAGGCAGTGGTTTTTTGCCCTGTTAGCACGTTCCCTTCTTACAGGGGTATCATTGCTCTTTACAATGCAATTGTTACTTCTTGGAGCTTTGCACTCTTGAAAACTCAAGTAGTTGAACTTCCAGCTCATAACTGGAGCTCACAGCTCAAACAAAAGTGTCTTCAGTGGAGTTTATGCCACTACACTTAATTATTAATTTTTTCCAGTCTAATGGTTATCTTAGGCACATTAAAATAGCTGCAAATCATGACATTACTGTAAAGCCCCTAATCTGATGCTAAATAATTATCCTGTTCCACTGTAGCACAACAAGGACAGAGAAATTGTCCTCTACTGATTTCACTGCCAGGCAGACAGGATCATTTTTTCACCTTTGCTGCTGTCAGTTTGCTATCCCCAGAGTTTCCACCCCTATGCTTGTTTCAGTTTTTGGAATTGGAAGGTGATCATGACTGTGGGAGCTATGCAGTCCCCCTTTATGATGAAACATACTTACGCAACTGCAGCAGAGGGAGAGGAGACATTCATTGTACCTGTGAGGGAGCAGAGGGGCAGGTGTGTGAGAGGGGGCACCTGCAAGGTCTCTGGATGTGCATGGGGCAGATAGCCCTTGGCCAAGCCCACTGAGCTGCTGGCAGGCATCTGACTGTGCCCTGTCTTGAGGCAGGTAAAATCGTCAGGTGTGATGTGCTACACAGCTGGTAGGTGCCATAATTCATGTTTTGAAAACAGAAGGATGCAACAAAGCGGAATGTCAAGGGTATCCAGGAGTGAAATTATGAGGTTTGATTTTGAGATAGGCTGGTATTTTTAGTGCCACATTTTCTAGTTTAAGCTCAAGCCATTGGGACAAATCCTGGCTGTCATTGCTTGAATGCTGAATGTGACCTCTGCTGGAAGAGGAGACCTTGAGGTTTCCTTTCCTATAAGTGGATTTGTATTTTAAGGCTTCCCAGCTGAAAGGTTTGTTTTTCTAAAGATTATTGTTGAGGAAAAATGCAACTGCATACTCACTGCTATTTTGCTAACCATTTTTTATGAGAATCTGTCTTGCTAATCTCTTTTGGGAATTACAGGGAGAGAAGGAGGAGAGATTGTATTGATCTCAAGCACTGGGTTTGTGTAAGGATTCATGTCATGTAAGAGGTGAACTAACACTAATCTTTGTAATTGATTACTTATTGATTGCTCCCAGGAGATGTGTTTTTATATGAAAAAGGGACTTGCCTTCAATTCAATTATGGTATGTAAACAAAGTTCAGGATTTATCTGAAGGAGATTGAAAAGGTGAAAGGTGATGGGGAAAGTTCACAGTTTATGTTCACTTCAGAGAAAGTTGATTTTATTTGAGATTACCTATTACCTATCAATGCAAACATTTTCCAATATGCTCTAATGTTAAGAACATTGTGCTTTTTCATGTCAAGACAATACCTGACAATAAAAAGAATAATTTTATCAATTTGCTAAGTGACTCAATCTAGCCATATTTGCTCTGTTGGTATTGAACCAGAAGCTCATAAATGATGACTTCAAAAAGCTGGAGTAAAGGTTTGAGCTGGGAAGTTTGGGGCTGGCTGAGTCACACCATACATCTGCATTTCTTTGAACCATTTGATTTGTATCCTTATTTTAGTCTGAGATTTTTGTAATACATGTTGGAATAATCTGTAAATAAATTTCTGGTTCCAGCTGATCTCTGTGTCGAAAACAGTTGTTTAATACAATACTGCTTTACAGATCCCAACAGGTTACCCGACACAAGAGATGTTTTAGTTAATGTCTATTTGAGTTGGAAAATCTCTTTTGCCTGTGTTTATATTCAAAGTTTTGCTCCAGTCAAAAAAACTTATATATAAGTGAAGAATTTGTATAATGGAACCTAAACATTCTAATAAAATAACTATTGGTAATGCAGATCTAAGAGAAATAAATAAAAAAAAGAACGAATGTTGCTGTGCAGAAAAGTTTATATTGCTATGTGTATGTTCAGGCATCTAACACTTTTCCAGGTGTTATGTTCCTCATACTGCTGCTCTTTTGTTCTAAGGTTGATAGTGGGGTCTGTTTGGGGATGTACAATGAGAAATAGGCATCCTGAACCCTTTGCCAAGAGCAAGATGGTGTTGAAGTCAATGCTTTCTGTGTCTTCACACTAGGATCTACTTGGAGTGATTTTTATGTGTTTTTCTAACAGGTTTTCTAACACCTTATTTTTTCCTCTTTTCTCTGAAAGTCTGCATCACTCTGATTGTACTCTATATGGTGAGTTTGACAGGTGTTATTGTCATACGAAGAATGACTTTTTACAGCCAAGCCAAGCAGCAGCAAAGTCTCAGGCAGAACTTGGCAGGTGCTGACTGAGCCAGCCAGCAAATCTCAGGGCTGAGCCCCGGCAAAACACCTGCAGAGCCTGAGGCACCACCCCTCGCCTAGTGACATAATAACATTTAGTGACAACAGGGACATGGTTTAGTAGTTGACTTGATGGTTCTGCGTTAATGGTTGGACCTGATGATCTTAGAGGTCTTTTCCAATCTTAAAAATTCCATGATTCTATGATCACTGGGCTGCAGGTTTGCTGTGTCTTCCAGGGGGGATAGATCAGCTAGAAAAAGCAATAGCACCTGCATTTATGAAGAGAAGCAATGACTGATCCAGGATGAATATCTACAGATTGGACTTTATATTTCTGTTCTCAACTCTGAAATAGATGTTATTTCTTGAATAATTCTGGTTCCAATGCAGTCAACATTTCAATTGGCCTCAAAGAGTAGGGCAAACTGGCAGCAACAGAGTGGTACGTCTTCCCTCGATCTAAATATAAGGAATTTCATAAGAACAACTTGCGTATATTTCTGCTAGAGTACCCAAATCTGACTATTAGCCATAAGATTTTAAAAACTGGTAAATCCTCCTATGATCAAGAAACAATTCATCAAATTATTCAAATGTACTGTACAGATGAACCAATTTAAGAGACTAGGGGTCTGTGAGATAATACAGGTAATTTAAACCCTTGGAATGATAGAATATCCTATTTATTTTTAACTCAGTTTATTTTCACAGAATTTAGTGGGATCAGATGTCATAGCCAAGGTGATGATGACAGGGAAGTAACCCCCGGATTATTTCGTATGATGCTGCACCATAAATCATACTGAAGCATTTAGGAGCAGTCCTTGAACTAGAGCAGCTGCCCACTGGAGCAGCTCGTCTGATCTGGAAGCCATGGAACACTGGTGAAAGGTAGGCTGATATATTGGTTAGACAGTACCGATACTTCAGCCTTTAAAAGTTATAGAGATATTCTCTTTACTTCCTTTGTTTCTCTTTTGCCCTGTACTTTTGTCCATCCCGCTCAAAGAAGCTGGCTTGTGTCCTGTTCCCTCTATTGTTAAATGTGTGCATACATCTCAAAATTCTTTACCATTCTGGTTTAATGAAGTTTGGTCCTTTTATAGATACTTTGCATATTGCATCACAGATGCAATTTCAAGGGATATAAGAAAAAGGCATCTTTGACATTGGCCAGGCATGTCAAGTAGCAGTGACATTGCAAATATAAAACATACTCCAGCAGGAAATTTCCTGTCATTTGTGAAGCCTGGTAGATGTTAGATTCTAGGGAATCCTCGGGGTGAATGTTAGGTGTCCTGTATTTCCTTAAAGACCTCAAATAGAAAAGTGCAAACACTATTTTGGCATTGTTACAAAGTTAAGTATTCCTAAAATATTACGGGTTTGGTTTCTGTTGCCCAAATAGCTTTCTTTATATTAAAATACAATTAGAATTTCCTTTAGAAACATCTGGAAATACAATTTCTATTAACTGTATGGATCTCTGCTCAAATGGAGTATTGTTAGGTAAAGAATGCTGGTAATTTGGTATCTCTTTAAATTGCTGATAGATAGAATGCTTCTTTTTTTTTTTTCTTTTTTTCCCTGCTGGAAGCTCTCATTTTTCATTCCTTCTTTGAATTTTGACCGTTTGCCTTAGGTTTTTGTTGATATGTCTTTTTTAATTTTTCTTTTTTTTTCTCCCATATTCAACATGTTTCCTGAAGGAAAAGAAAGAAGATGTTATGGACATAGTATAATTTGGCGTGTTAATAAAATAAGGGTACACATTGAGGTCAAATGCCACAGACTTACTTGGCAAAGGCAGTAGATAGTTTGCCTGAAGAATGAGACTTTTTGAATACATAATAAGGATTTCTTTGAGTAAGGAAAGAACTCATCAGGGAAGACTGCCTCTGTTACTTAGAGCATAACTTAAGGAGGTGTGCAATACCGTATACTTATTGCATAGATGTTGTTAACTATATGGATTAATTGTGGCTTTAGTGATGGGGATATCCAATGAAAAAAGAGCAGGTAGTAAATGCTGTTCAAAACTTTCATCAGCATGACAGAGGACTGAATGAGAAGAAAGAATAGGTTATCTGGGAAACGCATGATTAACCAGATACATCATACAACTTTATTTTTCACTGAAAGCCAGAAAGCATTCCTTTTGTATCCAGGTCTGAATTCTTTCTTTACCCACTGGTGTTTGCTGTATTTGATGTGAAATGGTAAAGTAAACTGTGTGAAAGTTACTAGTAGTTGTTAGTAGAAAGATTTTTCTTTATGTACTGTACATTTCAGATTTGTTAATTTTCTATCTTCACTTATAATAATACTCCTTGTGTTGCATTAAACTCTCTCATAGGAAGACATTTTCTTGTAATTAGGTTTTCTTAGAAAAATATCACTACTTTAAAGTAGATGCAGTCCAGCTGTATAATGTTTGAGCTTTCTAGGTATTTGTAAGCTATTTTTCAGGTAAACATGAATATATTAATCTGAAAAAATATGTGAATATTTTATTTTTTCTGCTTTCATTTAAATTAACTACTTTAGTTTTGAATTGATGATACTAAGAAAAATAATAGTCATGTGAAAAAGAAGATTAACTTAAGCAAAAATGCTACCACAAGATCTGTAAATTAAGTCTTTGTCAAAAAATCTGGTTCAGTTCAATTTAGAGTTTTACTACATGTGGGAATAAAAATATTAACTAAAAGCAAGAGATCTCTGAACTTCAGGAAATCTTCAGAGGATGTGAAGAAAAGAGCACATGATATATTACACAAAAAGAATGGAACTGTGAAAAGTAACATCACAGTTAAAATTCTTTCTTTCTCTATCTTGACTCTTTTTCCTAAACTAGGAAAGATAAGATGTTATTTCTAAGAAAGCAAAAATAAAACTGAAAATTTAACATAATAAATGAGATTATTTGTAAAAAATGTGAGGTTTGAGTGTAGTGTTCAAGAATATAAAACCCACCAAATATTTATATTCTTTTCACGGATTTCTACCTAGATTTACTTGCATTAATGTCTAATGCATTCTTATCCTGTTGTCAAATTTTGACTGTACTGAATAGCTAAAGCTGCACTGATCTCACTGCTGTGAGATTCTGAGCACTGTTCTGTTTGACTTAAAAAGTGAAAGACACATTCAAAAGTTTCCTAAAATTTATGCTCCGTTCTGGGCATTTTCTACAATGTAAGATGAAATAACTTTTTAACTAAGAATTTCTCACCAAAACTTGAGTACTCTTGGATTGAAAATACTGCAGTTAATTTAGACCCTTATGCAACAGATATAAATAGATTTTCTAGATGTCATTAATTTTCAGTGTTGACAATGACACCGTCTCTCTTTTCTTTTTGCACCATCTTTCTTTTCTCTCTTATTTCTACTTTCTTTTTAAAAGCAGTATCTCTTCTGTCATTTTTCATCTTCAGTGTGCATCATGCAAAACAGGAAAAAATCCAATTAACCAAGTGTAGAAATACATGGGTTGAGGGAGAAAAAAACTAACCCATTACCACTAAGAAGAAATCATAAAGTCCCAAAAGTTTTGTAAAGAAAACGCAAATATTGGAAAGAAGGCATCCGAAACAATGGAACACTGTTCCTCAGTGTTCACCTAATGCCAATCACCTACCTTGCCTGTAAATGTGTCTTCTACCAGCAGCACTCCTTCACTGTGTGCCAGCTCCTGCCCTGCCATGTCTCTGTCCCTCTCTCATCCCCTACTTCCAGTCACTGCAGACCTCTATCACTACTTGAACACATGCTCTGGGCTTGTTATGATCTGATTCACCAAGATATGTTGAACATGCAATGCAAATAGTATGATATATGCATGAATCTGTCTATATAACACCCTTCTAATCTCATATCTTTTGCTATAACGCCTTTCCACCTATGATGATCTTCCACACACAAACCACTTAGTTTCTCTTTATAGCAGTATTTATTTTTATTTTCTTTTATAAATACTGTTGCTTTAGATCTTATATCTTCCATAAAATGGACATTACTATATATATATAGTTTATATATATATATATATTACTATATATATATAGTTTCACTTTTACAAATTTGAAGGTTATAGAGCATGGGTCTGATGTCTGGCCCAGCACTTTAGATCACTTGAGACCTGAGCTACATCTTACTCTCTTAGTTCTTGTGATATACTTGTGTCAACTTGGTTGGTGAAGTCTTAGTGTAATAACATTTTGCCATAACAATGCAAGAAAGGTAGTTTTTTTTTGACCTTCAGATCTATAGCGCCAATAAATTTGGCAGAACTGTCACAGCTTGTTCTCATTTCTTCTAAACCAAGTTTCATAGGTTGGATCTGTGCGAGGTGTTTTTTTTTTTTTTTTATTTCAGGTCTTAATTCAGATATTTCTTAAAAAAACCCAGCATCCAGAACAGGGTTTTGGGAAAAAAACCTGCTCTGTAATTTTCCAACTTACTTCCTATTTTGTCTGTTGTCATACAGGTTTTTTATAACAAGTTAGAAGCAATGTTATTTGTATCAAACCAAAGGATTTTAATGAAAGTCATTTGTAATGGAGAAAGATCTGTATGGTGATGTAGCCTCTTACCTGTCATTGACACAAGCAGATGGCACATGGACCAGTGCTAAAGTCTCTCCTAGTTCAAAGTGAGCTCATGAATCTGAAATAAACATCCTCAGACAAGTCCGAAGTATACAAACTGCTTCATTATACAATTCTTCACAAGACAAGTGTTCATTTTTAAATGTGGTGCTTAAGTTTTTGGACATTCAAGGTCATAGTAAAGTCTGCAGAAAGTGCAAGGCTATATCATGCTGGTGGTATTATGGTATGTCTTTTTGAAGTGAGACATTTGCAAAGACTGAGTGATCAAATAAGTCTAAATATAAGTAGAATTGGTCCAGAAGTAAAAAAAGCCTCTAGTAACTTCCACTGAGTTTAAATACATTTCTTTTCAGTGTGTGTGTCTTTAACACTAAATTAATTTAGTGGTAAAAGTCCTTGGGAAGTGTATCATAAAATCCATTGTTGAAAGATTTCTACTGAGTTACAGGCTTTGCATGTGGATATTTCAGAAAGTGGGAAAGATAATGACAATTAAGTAAAACTTAAAGCTTAGCCTCATTGCTAGCACATCCTGCCACCCATATCCTGGTTTTGCCTGGATTGCTGCCTGGCAGGAAGAAGGGGAAGTTGATTATTTGGGAAAGATGTAGCTCTTTTTACCTGTTTGATTAGGTGCTGATGCCAGAGGTGTTGTCAAATGCCTACTGAGAACAGTTGAACTGTCAATGCAGAAACAGGCTTAACCGGGCTGGTGCAGGCAGAGTCCAGTGCTGTCTGGGAACCCAGCATTTACTACCACTACTTTTCCAGTACATGCTGATATTTCTACTCAGCAGATCACACTAAAATGGGAACCTGGATAGAGCTCATCACCTAGTCTAAATAAAAGAGTTGTCCCCTGGCTGTGTGCGCCCTCTACTTTTCCTCGTGTTGCATCTGTCCCTGAAGCATCCCCAATTTCAGGCCCTTAGGAAAACCTGGTTAAAACAGATCCACTTGACTCTTCCTCAGGACAGAAAGAATGTGCTGCAATCTTAGCTGATGAAAACAACTCTTTTTGTTTATTTTGTTTTATTTTTTCACACAGAGCTGTATTATTAGAAAGGACCTTTTCTTTGCTGTCACTTCTCCCTCCTCTGAATCTGCTAAGGGTCTCTTTAACTTTTCTTTCCTCTTTTCTGAACTGGGCAATTTTCTGTTCAAGTAAATCATAACCAAGTTGAATTGAAAGAAAAGCAATTTCCATGCTTGAAAGTGTGTTTCTCTCCAGCTTTCAGGTGCTGTCACAACAGCCATGAGGTATATTTTCACATGTGGTGGAAGAAAAAAGTCTCTAATAAATTTAGCTGTGATTACTAAAAAGAAATGCTGTGCTTATGCCTGCAGAGGCATTTTCTGCTCAGAGATAGTTCTTTGTTCAAAAAGAAAACCAGGAGACATTTTCTTTGTCTGAAAAATAGGATTTGCCTAAGAGGATTTGCCAAAGACTGTGAAAATTTATTCATTTTCAGGAAGTAATGACATTGCATTGTCTGCCATATTTGCATATCTTTGTTGTATACCTTTCAGGGGCTTTTGCACAAAATAAAGGTGAGCTATGCGTGTGTTGCTGTTTCGGAAGTTCTGGGAATGAGAAGACTGTATAAATGGGAATTCATTAGGACACCAGTGGATAGTGTTATTGTATTCTTCAGTATGAACTCAGCAAACAGGTGCCACCCATCTGTAATCCTTCTTAGTTTAGGTTGTGACTGCAGAATGAATAAGAACTGGACTTAACAAGTCATTAAGAGAGAGTGGGGTTATGGGTTTTATCGCCCTGGTTTATTCCACTCATTCAAAATCAAACTACTTCTCTCCTCAACAACTTAATGCAGGAAACCATGAGACATAGAAATGAAAAAAAAAATTAATTCTTAATGTTTTGTGGAGCATATACTGTAAGTGTAGATCTAATACTGCAGGATTACCCCTGGAGTAATTTTTGAGTTCAGGAAGCTCCCCAGCACTAAGGTGAGGCACTCCAGCCATATGGGGCTGGGGTATAGGCAGAGAAATTCAGGCTTGAGTGTTTTACTTCTGTTTTTTTGTTAAGGAGAAAATGTGTTCTCTCTGGCATGATTGTTCTCTCCAAGTATCCAGGATACTGAGAAGAAATTCAAAGTAGGAACTCTGAATACTTTCGGTGTTCTGGAGTTACCTGAGTCTCTTCAGCAACTGTAGGAAAACCCAGGAGACATCAGCCAGGTAGTGAGAGGTTCATGGCTTTTCTTCGTTCTTCCATCTTGTACTGCATCCCCAGGGGCTCACCTTCAGGTCTAAATATATTCTTTAAATTTCTGTTTGCCTCTTGTAATCATTTATAGGTTCCAATCTATTCCCAGTCAAGAAAGATGTTTGACTTCTCATCATTATCTCAGATTTCTGCAGAACAAGGTGCCATATAGGCTATAGCAAAAAGGAAGAGAGAAAACAAATTCTCCAGCACTGAGGAATGCCAGAATGCCTGTGCAGAATTTTGTAGTTATTTTGGTGAGGGTTTTCTATTTTTGTGGTTGGTTGTTTGTTAATTTTTTTTTAATTTTTCTCTGGAGTTTGGTGTGATTATGTGGTAATGGCTATAGTTCATGCTAAATCTAGCCCAGACAGAGGTGCTGCACCAATTTAAGACCAGTATTGATCACTACTTTCTAGCAGTAGGAGAACTAATTTTCTGTCCACAGGAACACATAACATTTCTTCTATTGGTTTTCTTTTTTTTCTTCTTCCTGTCTGGGAGAGGTATTATGCTGGAGATGAAGTGATCCTCATTGTACTTTGCAGTCTCAAGAGTTGCCTACTTGTGAACACATAGCCAGCAGCAGCCCCCTATTCCAGCCTCTGAATCTCTCTTCCCATAGTGCACTGCAGTCACTGAGGGCTTGACTTGCATGCTGTGGATAATGAATAGCATTTTGTGGGTTGTGTGAATGGGATTGGAATTATATGGACTTAAAACCTATGATATAATGTGTTTTGATTATGGAGGGCAAAGCATGGTGACTAACCTGGTCCTTTGCAGGCCTGTTTTCCATATAATTCTCATGATTTTCTAATTTCTGGCCACAAATACAAATAAATAACTTGAAACCAAGATAGCAGTGAGTCATATAGAGATTACATAGCTTTTGAATGTAGAGAGGCTTATTCTATCACTGTTATTAGTCACTTTAGTCACTGTGTCTTTTTGTTGTCTTGGTATGGAGTCATTGGTCTGTTGTGACACTGCTATTTTGGTTGGGTTTTTGCTTCGAGCAGAATATTTGTTTAATGTATAGAAAGCTCTGACTGTTATGTTATGGCTAGTGGCAGAGCTGCTCTTGAGCTGTGAACGGTCATGCAATTGGTAGACATAAGTATCCTTATTCGAGGTTATATTTTGAATACAGATAGTAAGAAAAAAATCTGCCAGCTAGTGAGCAGATATTTACCCTATTTGTGCTCTACCAGTGGGGCTGTTGAGGAACAGATTTTGACCAGCATATTTTAACTCTGTACATTCCCATCAGTCTGCAGGCTGGTCATAAGAGTTATAGTACAGGAGAGAAGACTGGACTATCCTCCCACTCCAGACAAAGATATACCATTGAAGCAGGGAATGATGTCTTTAGAAACATAGGTAAGCATTTAACTACTTGTTAAACCATGAAATGGCAGTAAATATGACTTTGGTTTATTCCTTTAAATACAAAGAGGCTTAACTAGCCTTCCCTGTGTAAAGTTCGGACAATCTTTTGACATGTAACTTCCTGGGAAGGAGGAGGTTGAAACTCAACCAAACTTGAAATAAGAATAAAGTACTTTCTCAGGAGTGCTGTATCATTTCATGTGTGGGTGCTTATTGTATCCAGGTCAAAACACTGCAGCCCATTTACTGACTTACCTCCCTCCTCCCCCTAATATACTCGTATATTTCTGTGTCACCAAAGCACTGTGCAGTGAGGAAACTGTTCCACGGACAAGGTCCTGTGCATGTACAATAGGGAACCCAGGGATGGGAAGGGATGGGGTCAGGGAGGATGACGATCCTGAGAGTAATGTAGTATCTCCATTTAGAGGAACTTCATCCCAAATGTACATTAAAGGGCAGAAAATATTTATGTTTTGTTGATCCTTGAGAAAAAGCAGGAATGGTAATGGTATAAAAACTTTTTAAAGGGGCAATAAATAATAGTTATGATAAATAAGCCTTGGAGCCATAAAAATCCCTCCTTGGCCACCTGAAAGCTTCTGTATTACATTATTTCATTATTTCACTATAAATAATAGTGTTTTTCTTAGATCAAAGCATATAATACACATGAAGTTTTTGGACCAAGTTACCTTATTTTCCTAAATGGTAGTGAGTGATACGTTATTTATTGTAAGATTCAGGTTAATCCTAAGTTTGTTCAGTTTCTGAAGAGAAGCTTAGGTCAATCTCCAATTTTTTAACTGTAGATATTTATGAGCACAAAGAAACACTGGTGCCATCACTGCCATTAGAATGTCTTTCAGATTTTTTGAATCGAATTTTTTCTCTTTCAGAAGGTAAGCAGAGACTGTGAAACAGTTCAGAGCAGCATAGAGTTGCCCATGAAAGGACATGGTGTCTGTTGTTCATTTACAGCAGAATGATTGATACTGAACAGTGTGGAAAACAGCTACCAGAGCGCAGAACCCTTCAAGGCTTAAAATTGTGACAAGCAGGAGCAAAATTGTAACAATATTTGCATATACACTGCAGCATCTTCCAGCCTCAGAAACGTTATCACCATTGATAAATACCTCTAGATATGTTTATTTAGATGTGGCAGCATCAGGCCACAGCTACTCCTAGTGTTATGGGTGGTTGTAGCTATTAAACAGCTGTATAAAAGGATGCATGTGTTAGAAGCAAATATTACAGAGACACGGAGTTACTTCTAGTTTAGTAGAGCATGAGGGCTTGTTGTGATATGATTAGTGAGAGAAACCTCTGCCCAAATTAAGCTACAAACAAGACCATATGCCAAAGTCAATAATATAGGTTTTAGTCAAAAATGAAGGTGAGGTAGACAGATAGAAAGAAATAGAAAAGAGTGGAGTGGGGAGAGAGATCAGATAGAATGGATCACATGGTGTCCTGTTTGTCCTTTTTCACCCTGGGCTTCTTGGTGGGGGGGGGGTCTCAAGGTCATCCAAAACTTTTCACTATTTATACATTTTAGCAAACAAAGGAATTAATGTGCATTTGTTACACAGTTCTCTATGAGTTAAATGATTCCCTCGCTTCTAATGCAAATTAGTCTGCATGCTCAGTCTTCCTCTTCTTTTGAGTCTGGGGGTTTCCTGAGTCAGTGGGTTGTGAGTCAGTGCTTGTGATCTCTCCCTGCCAGAATTACCTTTTACCCAGTCAGAGCTGATTTCATCACAGTAACTGAGTTGGCTTTCCTTGTGGTCCATAAACTTTGCATTCTTTATGTCCATAATCAGTAATACAGCTTTGTTAACCTCCCCTTAGGTCTGAGGTAACACCTGGGCAATAGTACTACCTTCATCTTGCAGTCCAAGTTTCAGGTCCTATTTGGCGGGGGCTTCAGTGGTGCTTGCAGATGCCACCTGTCCCAAAACTTGGGGTGATATTTGTTTGACCAGTGATATGTATACGACCTGTTGCTTCTTTACACAGTTCACCCCAGTGGGAATTTTTGT